AGTTGGAGTCCAAGAAGGACAGCTTGGATCAAATTGGATATTGTGAAATCCTGTGAGTAAATGGCTGGCCACCAGCCCTGGGACATTATTACAGTGTGATGTAAAACTATTTGAGGTATGGGAGGCAAATCAGTTTCTCTGTGGAAAGGAGAGGACAAGGTGAGGTATGAGGCAGAGTTGATTTTTTTGTTTTGTTTTGTTTTTTCCTGGTGATTGGTTAGCGTAGACTCTTCACACTGTCTTAGTTCCCTGTGCTGTGGGTGCCTCACGCTCACCAGGATAGGCAGTGGGAGCTGACAGACCACACTACCGTGTCACGATCAGCTGTGCTGTGGGTAAATCCTCCATAGGTCGTAGGCTCTGCTTCCTCCCCAGTCAGATGGAATGGCATGGCCTAGGCTTGAAATTGTCACTGTAGTGAGGAGCTGACTGGACCTGTGTTGACAAGGCCTGAGGGTACACACAGCAGAATTTCCACAAATGATTCTTGGTGTTGATTAAACAGAAGGCTTTTTATTGTGGTGATGTTACGTTTTTAAGTGACATTTTATTTACCCTGTGCACACGCAGGTGAGTGCCACGTTGGGTACGTAGTGCCAGAGGACAGCTTATGGGAGGGAGTCTGTTCTTTCCTTTCTGTCCCATGGGTCCTGGGAACTGAACTCGGATCGCTGGGCTTGCCTACAAGCACCTTTACCCATCTCATTAGCTGAAGAGGGCTTTGAACTCCTTCCTGCCTCCCGTTCCTGAGTGCCAGGACCACAGGTGTATACTGCTGTGTCTGGTGTATGTGGTGCTGGGGATCAAACCCAGGCCTTAGTTCATGCTCAGTGAGGCCCTGACTGACCCAGCGATGTCCCTAGCCCTGGAAATCCTCCCTCCACTTGCTTGGGGCTTCCATGGTCCCAGAAAGCACACTTTTCTTATCTAGGACCCAAGAGCAGTCCTGAGCGTGCAGCGGGCAAACCGTGCTTTTCTGGTTGGTTGGTTGGTTGGTTGGTTGATTTGTTTGACACAGGGTCTCATGCGTGGCGTTGCCTGGTCTGGAACTCATATAGACTTCGTAGAGATCCCCCTGCCTTTGCTTCCTGAGTGCTGGGATTAAAGGCCTGCACCATCATGACCCACCAGACCTCACTCTTCTAACTGGAAAACATGCAACCCTACGTATGACAGAATTGGGGGGGGGGTCACTGTTGTGGGGTAGATCTGGCAGGAGCAGTCGAGTTCCACATTATTTATTCCTCAGGGTGTTTTCATACTGGTCAGAGATGGCATCTGCTTCTCAGTGAGATTATAAATGGTGAAATGAGCCGGGCCGTGGTGGCAAGCGCCTTTCTTACCAATATTTAGGAGCAGAGGTGGAGACATCTCTGAATTTCAGGACAGCCTGGGTTATACAGAGAAACCTTGTCTGGACACTGCCCCCACCCCCCAGTGGTGAAATGAACAGGTGTGTACGAGTTCAGTGCTACCACTCTGCAGTGTGTGCAAAGTGGCACCATTTACCTCACCATAAAGCTACCAATCAAAAAACAAAACAAAGTTTGTTAAACAACACCTAACCTTCCCCAACCCCCCCCCCAAAAAAAACAACAACAACAAAAAAAAAAAAAACCCTGCCATCTGTTCCTCTTCCTGTGTTGTTGGCTAATGGGGTTGTCTATTGTAGCTTGAAGGAGTTCAGCCAGAATGCTTATTCTTCATCCCAAACTGGGCCTTAGGGTACAGGATAGGATAATAGAGAATAGGTCCAAGGACAGAGAGGGCTTGAGGAGTTCAGTAGACCCTTGGGTTAGGGCGCTTGGCATCAAGAGGTAGCCAGAAGGAAATGACTGCCTTCTGTTAGGTCATTGACAAAGTAGTCAAAACTTCCCTCTTCCCTGCGGTGCCTGGAATGGGTTCCTGTATTGGAGCAGGCTCGCTTTCATGACTTGGCTTTGACTTACATGCTCATGAGATGTGAACCAGCAGCAAATCAAGCTGGATCTACCTGCCTGCCTCCCCAGTGCTGAGGTCATCAGTGTGCTCTACCACATGGGCTTTTACTCAGGTCTGCCCTGCTGTCCCAGCTTGAGGCTGGCTGTATTTATCCTGGTGGTCCCAGGACAGCTTCTCTGCTTTGACAGTGGTTGTGAGAAACCTTGACCACTTCTTGGACACGGCAGGGTACAAGCTACATTTGTCATAACAAGACCTGCTGTTTCACAGGGCTACAGAGATGGCTCAGTGGTTAAGAGCTAGTGCCACTCTGCAGAAGACTGGAGTTCAGTTCCCCAAGTCCAAGTTAAGTGAATCACAATTGCCTGTGACTCCAGCTCCAGGGGATCTGACTCTGCTGTCAGACTCTTTAACGTGTGTGTGTGTGTGTGTGTGTGTGTGTGTGTGTGTGTGTGTGTGTGTGTACGCACACACACAGGCAGACAATTACAAATAGTAAAAAAAGACGTTTGAAAAAGATCCATTTTTCCTTTGCAAAGATAACCTTTGAAGTCATTGCTTTGTGAAATGCAGATTTCCTTTAATCCAACTAAATCAGCATCTTCATAGTTTTTATGTTTAGCAATTAAACACGAGTTAATTAATGCTGAACATCCCGTAGTGACTCTTTCCCTCTAGCCAAGCAGCCACATATACCCTAGTGCAAAGGCAAACAGCTTAATTAACTTACCTTCATCCACTGTCAGTCATCTGGAAATGAACTATTTATAATACTCAGGAGTGTACACCACTAGCAGAGTTTAAATCTGCTCAGGGTTGCAAGGAACCAACATGATTACTTCCCACCCACTCCTCTGTAGGGCTTCTTTTCTGCTGATCTTTCATGCTTGCAGTCCCAGCATTTGGGAAGTGGAGGGAGGGGGATCAGAAGTTTTAAGGTTTCATCTTGGGAGATGACTAAGAGGGTAAAGAGCTTGTCATGTAAGTATGAGGACTTGATTTTGGATCCCAAGCACCTACATACAGGTGGGGAGATGGTCTGCCTTTAATCCCAAAATTTGAGAGGTGGAAATGAACTATTTATAATGCTGGAATTTAACTTATAATTTGGAAATTAACTGTTTAATTAGTCTAGCAAAGGTGGCTAGCTACACTAGTGGAATCTGTGTACCTAGAGGTCCCCAGTGCCAACCTGTTGGGGTCCAGAGAGGTCTCCTAGTGAGATCTGAGCTTGCTTTATACAGCAGGGCTGCATAAAGGGATGGATTGACCGTGTGCATGGTTACTAAGTATTTGGAAGGGTCTGCACTTGGCTAGGCTATGCTAAGGGGAGGTCTTTTGCTCCACCCCTTGGTGTTTTTATAAAAGCCCTTTAGAAGAGACAGAAGGGCCTGGTGGGTCTTGATCCAGGCTCCCCCGAGACTATCCTGTGTTTCTGTCTCTCTCCTCTATATTTCTATCTAAATATTTCTCACTTCTCCCTGCTCAAGTGTACCTTGGGGGAAAAAGTGGGGCAGGCCCCCTCCACACACCTCAGATTTTCACACCTGTGCACACACACACATAAGCACACAATATCCACTCAGACATACATGTAAGTACACACACTCAGACACACACCACATACCTGGAAAAGAAAAAAGAGTCTAAGATCATTCTCAGATAAAGAATGAGTTTGAGGCTAGCCTGGCTATACAAGACCATCTCAAAACAACAACAACAACAACAACAACAACAACAACAGCAAAGAGCAGTTTCTCATCACACTGTAGCATTGTGTTTCAAGTTCTTAGCCATGGCAAAGACTCAAAGGCTCCCACACTGTGGTAAGTGTGGAGTGGGCAGTGCTGGACATTGGGATGGTGGTGTCTGTCACTCAGGTTGAGTCCGTGTAGAAGCTATCAATAGTTTGGATTAGTCTGGGGCTGTCACACTGTCGATGACCTGAGAATAAACAGCACATTGTTCTGAATGTCACTAGGTGGTGGCATCCTCCTAAATGTTTCAGGGAAGGTGGTGCCTTTCTAATAGTGAACCTGGAGTGTCATGGAGCGACAGTGTTGAGTTCAAGGTCATCTTCAGCTATGTAGCAAGTTTGAGGCCAGCCTAGTGAGACCACAGTCAGTCATCTTCTCCTAGTCTGGAAGCCGGAGTCCAAGGCCTGGATGCCTTTTCCCACGGCTGTTCTTGCCTGGTTTTCTGTGTCCATACATAGTCTGTCCTCTGAGCACAGGCCTCCCCGTTGTCTCTTCTTCTTAGAAAGGACATCATCTCTATCTGGTCAGATCCTCTCACCTCTTTATCCTCACTGATCTTCCCGAAGTTGTTCTCTGACCTTTATATGTATCCTCCCCTTTGTACCCCTAAACCCCAAAGAAAAGAAAATAAAGAAGAAAAAACTATCAAACAAACAAATAAAAAAGAATAAGTCAGGCCCCAGTTCTTCCTGGCTATAAAGGGCTCAGTGTGTGTCTCTTGGTATCTCTTTGCTTTCATTTTCTCATCTGTGACATTGTCTGATAAACCTCAGGTGTCTTCTGGAGTCAGGCACTCTGTCTTCAGGGTTCCTCCCAGTCAGTCAGGGCAGTTGCAGATACTCTGAGTGTTCACGCTTTGGGTTTTGAATGATAATGTTTTGTAATTAGGAGGCTTGGAGAGATGAGTCTCTCTCTCTCTCTCTCTCTCTCTCTCTCACACACACACACACACACACACACACACACACACACACACACACACACACACACACACACACACACACAATTACAGCGTTTCTCAGCAGAAAGAATGTGTGTGGCTCAAATTGGGGAAATAGCCTGATAAATTTCTTTGATAGAAAACATGTCACCACAGAAGCAGCTCATAGAAAGAAAAGAAAAAAGAAAGCTCTGAACATTGCTGTTCACAGACACGCATGGGGAAATTCCTAAGTAAGCCTTTTTTTTGGAAATAGTATTTTCATTCCAAGTTAGTTTAAAAAGAACCCAATTAGAAAAGTACTGCCTATACTACTTGTATTTCTGGTTCATTAGTTCTGGGAAGTTATTGGTCATGTCTTCTGTGCTAGGCAATATCTTGGGAACTTGGGGATACAGAAGTTGTTACAGGAAAACACACTTGCCATGAAGCGTCTCAGATGGGTAGACATGTGTCTTTGACACCACGAACAAGTGAGGCTTTGAAAGCAGAAGGGTCTCTAACAGCACACAGTGGAGGCTTTATTTCAGTTGGTTCTTGGCAGGCGGATGGGGGTTTGCGGGTAGCAAGCAGTGATCACATTCTCTGTAGCACGTTCATAGTGTAGTGGTCTGTTGTAGGGACCCTAGTAATGAGTTAGAGATGAGGAAGGCCACAAAGCAAGACTTGATTGAATGAAAGAGAGAATGGTTAGTCTCGGGAGGAAAACAGGCGGAAATGGTGAAGGCTGAGAAGCAGCCATGCAGGATGCTGGGCAGATTGTAGGTACTGCCTGCTCACGCTGGAGCAACTCCCAGACAAGGGGGAGTGATCTGCAGGTGCTCCATGAGTGAGTTTGTGTGGACTCAGGAAACCTGCTTTTCCTTTGAAACCTCTAGTGCCTAGAATTCAGTGGTTCTAGGCAGTAGCATGCTGACATTTTATAACTGTGTGTATGCACACATGCACACCCCTCAACACTACATGGTGATATCACTAATGTCAAGCATTTGTGTCAATGCAGTTTTCAAATACTAAAATATGCTACGATTTTTATTGTCAATTCTATATAGGCCATTGATTGTCATGAAATACTTGCATTGGATTCCTTTTTCCTCCAAATCTTGTACTGGTAGCTCAGCAGCTACCAGACAGGTAAGTAACCACCCTCCACCTCAGACCTTACAAACATACAGGGAAGTGTCTGTGTTTCCTCCCTTATTTCCTCTCCCCGAAAGGCTCTGCTGTGCCACCTTCTCTAACCATGTATCACCACCCAGCCACTCCCCTGGGTTTCACTTCCATTTGGAGTGAGACTGATGAGTAGGCAGCCCCTGAGAACATATGTTAGCATGTTAGAGGTGTCATGTAGTGTGTATGTACGAGTGCGTATGTGGCTCGTGGTGTGTCTTTACCCAGCATCACACCGTTGAGCTTTGAGCTCTTTTAAAGGGTTTAACTCGGTTACTTCTCTTTTCCCTCTCCACTGTGTCTGCCTTTATCTCTTTTCAAGCCCCTCTCTTCCTCCTCGCTCCTTATTTCCTTTATGTGCTGCTGGGTGTCATCTTTTACTCCCTTGGGTTCAGTACTCAGAACTGTGACCTTGGAGTCTGCTCTGCTAGACTCTGCACAGCCCGCGGCCTCCTGGAGAGCTGCTCCACACGGATGGCTCTTATTCTCAAGTTCATCTATTCAAGATGCAGCTTACTGCCTCCCTGCTTTTGCCTCCTTCTCCTGTGGTATTCTTTGTTTCCAAGAATTGTGGAGCTGAAAGTGCCAGGTGCCACTGAAATCCATCCATCTTTTCTCCATTCCTTTCCATCTGTATTCTCAGTTCCATTTCCTTTTGTTTTGTCCCGTCCTATCTTGGGGTCTTATTTTGTAGCCCAAAGTAGCCTGGAACCTATGTAGCACCTGCTAGCCTTGAACTCACAGCAGTCCTCCTGCCTCAGCCTCCCAAGTGCTAGGATTAAAGGTTTATGCCACCAGGCCGGGCTGATGACCTTTCTTTGTATCCATATTGAGGAAGTCGTGAAGGTGGCTCCCCCGTCTTGCTTTCTCCAGTGTGTAGGTGTTTGGGCAATCCTTTCTTGAGTGCATGTGTACCCATCCACAGGATGGAGCCTGACTTCCTGGTACAGCTCTCCCAAAGTTCTCCTTCTCTTGTCTGACAGAAGCCTTATGCTGAGATGCTCAGTGAACGGCAGGAGTGGTCTAACTCGCTTCTGCATGGAGCTAAATAGACACTCAGTTGTGTTCATATAAAGATGTCAGTAAATCAGTCAGCATTCTTATATTGGGATGATTATTTGTGGTAATGTTTCCCACTTAACTTTCACATGTTTATCTTCATGAAGTAAGTGTCCATCTGTAATGGTTAATATTGGTTGTCAACTTAACAGGAAGAGTCAAATCTGGGTACATCTGGACATTCTGGACTGGGTCATTTGCAATGGGCAGACTCACGTGAAATGTGCGCAGCTCCGTTCCATGGGTTGAGACCTTGTACTGAATAGGCAGGAGGAAGCCAGCTCTGTTTCCTGGCTGCATTTGCTGTGTGGACATCTGATTGACATTCCTTCCCTCTGCTGGTGGACTGTACCCTTAAACTGTGGGCCCAAACAAAGCCTTCAATTGCTTGTCAGAACAATGAGAAGCATCATTAACACAGTGTCTAGGCTGGCTGTATGCACTTCGTGAACTGAGACACTATCTCTGTTGAGAGTAGGGGGTGCCCCGAATGTCTGTCTGTCTGTCTGTCTGTCTGTCTCCCTCTCCCTCCCTCCCTCCCTCCCTCCCTCCCTCCCTCCCTCACTCCCTCCCTCTCCCCTCTCTCTTTGTCTCCCTCTCCCTCCCTCCCTCTCCCCCTCCCTCCCTCCCTCCCCCCCCATACAGTGGCACTCAGAATTCTGATAGACATTTGACAGCACCTCTTGGGGCTTTCATGGGATGCAGGGGTGTGCACAGGAAACACTTCCTGTCCTTCAGCTAGGTTGTCCTGGGGCTAGGCCTGTCTGAAAAGTGAAATAGAATACCTTCTCCCTTCAGTCATTGACTGTAGCCACCAGGAGCTTGTTCCTGTCTGACAAAGTCTTTTAGCTTGAAAACCTGCTATGTGTGAGGGTATCCTGTGGTTGCAGAGGGACCTACAAAACTAGTTTATTCGGAGATTTTAAGAAGCGGGGAGGGCCAGTTAATAAGGAAAGCTCTGAAAAATACTTAGCCATTGTGCTGTGCCTTTCCCCCACCTACATTTGCTGTCCACCGTGGCAAGGGAGGATGCGACCCAGCGGATGCCTTTCTTCTAGTCCCGCTAGCTGCCACATGCTCCGTCAGTAGTCACTGGTGCCCCAGTCTCCTTACAGTAGTGTGCTTGAGAAGACAGTTCCGGAACGAGAAGTGAGTGTGTTACCTTAGCAGGTAGACACCCTTCTTCAGAGCTTTTCATTCTGCAGAGAGAAGCTGGGGGCCTGCTGGTTCCCGTGCTGGTTTTGTCGAGTTTGGCTTGGAATGGGAGCCTCCTTTGTGAGCCCTCTGGGCTGTTGATGGGGCAGACGCCCTTGCCTTGGTTTGTACTCTTGAAACAGTGTTCTGTTCAGAAGGAAATGGGAGGGTTGTTCATTGAAGGTCCCCAATACCGCTGGGACTGCTTTCTGTTGCTGTCTGGATGTGTTTGGAGGGTATGCAAAAGTAGCCAGAAGGGACAGCAGCGTAGAGCTCTGAAGAAACTAAGACTAAACAGTTAGTAATTTTGCCATAAGCTAGCATTGTTAATGGGAGAGTTCTAATCTGTACTTTTCTCTGCAATTTTCTGTTCACGTGGAGGAAAAGTCTCTTTTAAATTATATTGTGACCTCATGAAATACAGTTGTCAGAGTTATAGATGTTCTAGAACTGTCGTCAGGGCTTGGGGAGGTGGCTCAGGTTGGAAAGAAACTGCTGTGCAGCCATGGAGACCTGGGTTTGGATCTTAAGCCATATTAAAAACTGGGTTTAGCCACCCTTGCTTCTAATCCTAGTTCTGGGGAGGCAGAGGGAAGGGGAGTGCTGGAGCTGAATGTGTGCCCCAGGTAGAGAGCATTGAGAAGACACTCATGTCAACTTCTGGCGCGCACGTGCACACACACACACATGTACATGCATGCAATATATTCAGATTCTTTAGTCTCTGAATTCTGCTAAGTCAAAATGTTACCAACCCTCAAACCGCTCCTATAACACATAGAAAAAAAACCAGACTAGTGTTAATCACAGGAGCCTATTATGTTGATATATAGCTTGTCATAACACATTATAATATTACAGCAAATATATTTAACTCACTGAACGTTCTCAGGGGGCTCCTAACTCCCGTTCAGATTGTTCTCTGAGCTTCTACTGCAAGGTCTAGCTAGCTGCAGAGCCTTGTGATTCTACCCCGTCACTTTTGCTAAAGACCAAGATTTAGAATCCCTTTTCGGGGGGGGGGGGGGGGATCAGTGCACTGCTTGCCTTTACTTAAAAGTCTGTCTGGTTTTGTTAGCACCTGCAAACAGGAAGTTGAGATTTGAGGAGAAACCTTTGGCAGTATCCACCAAGCTCGCTGGCGAGCAAGAGTCTCTGTTGCCTTGGAAACCACACTGCTGTCTCCTGCATTAATGGAGAATTGGTGGACTTCCGGAGGCACTCTTGTTCAGGCTTGTAAATCTTTCCAGAGAAATGAAGGTTGACTTTTAAGACATTTCTCTGTCCTCTCTCAAGCATCTCTCACCCCCACCCAGGCTCTTCATGAGCTCAAGAAATTATATGTGGCTTCAGAGCTAGTGGTTTCTGTCTGGCAAGAATGTCTGAAGGCCGTTTCCTTCCCTTCATGCTTAAATCACGTTTATTCCAGCCCGCTTTGCTCCATAAATGACTTTTTAAAAGTTATTGTGCGCCTATTAGAATTATGTGGATTGAAAATAAAGGAAGAAGGAATGGAGGCATCAGCCATGACATGCATTGAAAACCTTCTCATGCTGGAAGGGTGTGCCATGCTTCTAAACCGCTCTTGACTTAAACCTTCTAAATTTCCCTAACGCTTTGTTTCTTCTCATTCCAATGAGGCACCTTAAGATAATGTCCTGGATGTTTTAAAAGTAAACCGGCCCCCTGGACTCCCTCCTCCACATTTCCCCCCAGCTAATTGTTTATCTGGGAGAATGCAAATGGTGGTTTTAAGTCTTCTAAGTCATCCATCATGCCTGGCAGCCTCCATTGTCTCAGTTTTGGGTTTGAGCCAAGCCAGACTCTTTCTGTTGGTCCGTGGGGGTGGGGGTGGGGGTGGGGGGAGATTTGTTCATCAGGCTCTGCCAGATCTGTTCTTGGGTAGCTGAGCCCTGGTGTGAGCGGATCCTTGCAGGCATGTCAGTTGTCATTCCATGCACTGGGAAAAGGAACTCATGCGTGCTTGTTTTCTTAGGTCACATTAATAGGAAGTAGCTCCCTATTTCAAGTAGAAGAGGCGGGGCTTGCTCTCTGCCTGTGTCAGAGTTCTTGTTAGTTTTTTAAATGCATTTTTGTGGATGTAATAAAATACTGTTTATAGTCAGCTACAAAATAAGTAATTACTGTGCAGCCAATGAAATTCAATATAGGTTTGTCGCGGTTTTTTGAATTTTAATTAAACCAGTCTTCGAGTAAATGAGAAACGCTGCCGCTTTTGTTGTGACAAGTGACATTGACAAAATATTAATCTAATGGTTCGTTTGTCTGTAGGCTCTAGGAGTGGGATTTGTTATTTTAGTTTGTGCTTTCTGAAGTGCATGGAGAAGAAGAAGCTCTTTAAAGCCACATGAACTGAGAGCGCCATGTATGGAATATTCCATCGCTGATAACTCGCCAGCCACAATTGCATGTGTCTCCTTTATGGCATGGAAAAAATTTTATGTTTTTAAACCAGATGTCTCTGTGGCTTACTTTTTTTCATATCGGTAAAACTGTAGCTGGGATAAATAACCAACTATTGACTACAAAGCCTAATATTAAAGAGTAACCAGCCCATGTTTCTGTTACATCATTTCCTTTTTATTTTACTTTATAAATTACCTTGTGGCTTAAAAATGACATCTTCGTGGTGGTAGAGGATTCTTTTTATGGCTGAATTATTTAAGTCATTTTCTCTGGAGATTCTTTTAACTTGACCTTAGATAATCATCTGGAAATAACGTATATTAGGCATTTTAAAATGAATATTCTTTCTGTCAATTTCTTGTTCTCCCTCATGGGACCAGGATTTGATATGTAAAAGCACAGTTTAATTATAGGTTCTTTTAGTTCTGAGTCCTTATTACAAAACAAATTTTCATCAAAAGGTAAAAATCTTAACATTTTCTCATCGTTAGAGCTGACCTAAAGCCCAAAGGTTTAAGCGTGTTAGGAACTTGTGACAGAATGGAGTGGCTACTACTTTTCCTGTGTGTTTGTGAGTCAGCTGAAAACAACACTGTTCGGTTCCCGTGAACACTTACTTGCCTGATTAGACTGCTGCCGCCTCCATCACCGCTGCCACCATCAGATTGTGCGGGCTTGGGGATGTGCTTGGGAGTGCAAGACGATTGATTCTGGACCTCCAAGTACAGCAGCAGAAAAACCTGCAAAGCAACATGTCTAGAGCTTGTGCCGACTCTGAGTGCCAGATCAACCCCTGTATTTTTTCAGGGATGCTAACCCTCTTGTAACTGCTAAATTGGATTTGTTGCTGAATGAAGTATCAGCTGCTGTTGGACAAGGCCATAAAAGCCAGCCGGCTGGCCCCTTTGTAGGCACGGCTTAGCCAACGATTGATATGTTTTAGCACTTTCAGAATTATTGTGATTAGGAGGAAACCATTCTGAATGAGCGAGAAGAAAGGGGGAAGGACATACAGCCACAGCTGGTGAGCAGCATGTGTTTGCAAAGAGGAAGTCGCTATTATGGCTTTCTCCTGGTTCCTGCCCTGAGTGACGAGTGTGAAATCTTTAGAGGAGGAAGCCGTATCTCTACTCCCTCCACCGGACTTACTCCGTAGTCCGGCCAGAGGCATCTGGAATGTTGTGGACTTGAGAAGTCTGTGCATTTAGAGTTGGGGCATGCACATCCTCACAAAGCCTGTGCCTAACAGTGCTGGGCTCCACATGCGGATTAATTGAGTTAATTAACTGTAGAGATTTCAGTAGTAACAACAATGACCTGTCTTTCATTTTCCACACCTTAAGACATGCTTAGATTATGGCACTGTGTCCTCTGGCCTAATTGTGTTCCTGCAGGCTGAATGGGAAGACACTGAACCTGGTTAAGAGTTTAGACTGCCTAGGTACTGACAATGATTTTAGAATGAGCATATTTTTAGGTACTACCTGGCCCAGGAACTTTTGCACAGATCTTGGGCCAGCCAAGAGGCAGCAATTTGAGTGGATCAGAGTGATGCAGCTTTCCCAGCACTTCCAAATGCACATGGATGGGTTGTCTCTCTGGCATTCCCCGAGGGCACCCCATTCCCGTTCAGAGTTTGCTCAGCAATACAGCTCAGGAAAGAGGCCCGCTTGCCAGGTCCTGGGGAGAGCCTTTCCAAGCCTGTGAAAAGCACGAAGCATCTAGCAGCCGAGCCTGCTTACAGCTGGCCCTCCTGGCCCTCTGCTAGCTTTGATCTGCGAATCAGGCCGCACCATGAATGCCCTTATTGTCATGTTATGTGTACACAGTGTGTGAATTATTGAAAATAGGGAGGCCTGGGCCTCATCTGGTAGAGATTACAGTGCAGGCATGCTGGGCGAAGGTCTGTAATTGAAAATCCCCAGATGCTGTTTATTTGCCCTTTGTCACATGACCTGCAGCAGGAAGATTGTCTGAACAAAACTGTTGCCTGCGCTGAGAGTGGAGCCTGCCATCCCCCACCCCAGAGCCTCCACAGGCGCAGTCAGTACACAGCTTAAACACCTGCCCGAAGGATTTTAAAAGGCTTAAAATAGAGTCGCTCCTAGCATTTAAATAGAAGGCATCTTGCTTGTTGGTTTAAACTGCTTAAGCGGTTGTTGACTTGTGGAACCTTCTATCCACACAAGGGTTTGCTGGATAATTTCACTTGGAGATATCTTCACAAAGCAATATTCAAGGCTAGAGCCATATAAGGATATGACGTTTGGGCTCTTGAGTGTAGTGAATGAGCTAGCAGATGTATATTCCTTCTATCTTTAGAAAACATTGTGGCTACCCAGAATGTGGCCCTGAGTTAGTGAGTTGATTCTTAACCTGTTTGACCTGTCCAAAAGAAGAGATGTTTCCTAGAGAATATTTAATCATCGATTGACTTACCCTTTGTGGGTGGGTTGAGGCAGGATGCTAATCCTAAAAGCTATGGAAGGCCACTGGAATTTTAAAAAGAGAATCCAGGTGTCCCAATACAAGCCTGTTAGCCAACTACTCCAGGGCTGAAAAGATTACTGAAAAGATTACTTGATGCACAATTTTCAAGATCAGCCTAGGCATCATGGGGAGATCCTGTGTCGAATGAATGGATGGATGGATGGATGGATGGATGGATGGATGGATGGATGGATAGGTGGATGGATGGGTGGTGGTTATGTGGATGGATATAGGTGAGTGGGTGGGTGGATGGATGGGTGGGTGGGTGGTAGATGAATGTAATTTGAAGACAGAAGGTTCTATGTTTTCCAAGTTAATTCCAGTAGACAATGGGGCAGGCTGCTCACCTACCTTGTGGCCCTTTGTCTTGGCTATTTTTCAGGGGAAGGAAAGGTCACAGATAGCTCAGCATTCCATGATCTTTTCACCCAGCCCTGTGTAGCTCAAGGACAA